TGTAGTTTTGCGCGAAATCCATAACAAACAAACAGATATTGTGTTGTGTGGCTTTGCGCTCACCAACAACGACTAAACCAATCAAACAAACAAATTATATAATCATTTTAAAATTGTAAATATTTCCGCGTATGTAACGTCATCTAATGAGCGTTTGCAAAAACATTATGATACAATTTGTTATATTTAGGACATAGTTTAGCCTAAATAAATTGTAAGTTACAGCACTTGATAATTTTATAATTTCCTATCATACTTTTACCAGTAATACAATATTCGGCTTGAAATCAAATAGTTTTTGCAATATGTGGTCCTCAGTCTATGTACTTTAGTTCAATTCAATAAAATATTTTAGTTACGGGACGTGAGCTTTGGATCCTCAGATTCACAGTCTGTCACTCAAAGAAATAGGCCACGCCCGATTTCTTATAAAGAGAGATGTGAGTTATATGAAGTTATTTCAGAATGCAACAAAAATTTAATTATTGCTTTAAATATTACCGCATTCGTAAATTTATTCTCAGCGACGATTTCTATACGTTAATATACAAATATTTCCTGTATATGGCAATAGAAATTAACATACAAGACACGTATCTGCTGGCTTTACTAGATTTTAAAGGGGGATAGGAGAACACAGAAAAGACTTATCTGATGGTCTTGGTGTATTTTAAACGGATATGATAAAATAGAACACACGTATCTGATGGCCTTACTAGATTAAAATAGAATATAAGACAAATAGCTAAATCTATATCAAGCTTTAATTAGGGAGAAAGAAAGAGAGCAAGTAGACCTAAAATTTTTCATACAAAAAGAAACTCAAAATAAGCATTAAAACTTCAATTTGTGGAGAAAGTATTTGTATTTATGCCAAAGCTTCTAAGGCAATTTATTGCCACTCGTACTTTGGAACTACTGATCAGAGAGAAGGCAACCAGTCAGCAGCACCCTAACACTCATCATCCACCCTAAAGGGTTGACTGACACTCTTATAACGCACCGATAGCTCGTATTTTGAGAATTAGTAGCAAAAGTGTCGCCCCCAGTGGCGCAGCGGTATGTCTATGTCTATAGATACCGGGTTTCGATACCCGTGGTGGGCAGAGCACAGATAGCCCATTGTGTAGCTTTGTGATTAATTCCAAACAAACAACCATAAGTGTCAGTTTTACAAAACATTTAATGCTCATGAAATTGACAGCGAGAGTTTGATAGATATTAAAAACTAACACTGCTATACTTTTTTTTTACCATCGTGGTCTTACTTTAGGTCGTTACAAATAAACTCAAAGGTGTTGAATATTTGTATGAGTTTCCTATACTTGACTTACGGACTATATTATTTTAACATATCTAACAAGTCAGGCTTGAGTGCCCTGTAGTCAACCCCACCCACCACCAACTCTTGGGCTACTCTTTACCACAGAAGGATTGACCACCAGGTTATAATGCTCCCACAGCTGAAAGAACGAGCATGTTCGGTGGCGGGATTCGAACCCACGATCCGAAGATTGCGAGTTAAGTGCCCTAACCACCAGGCCTCCACGTTGGGACCAGTGAAAGGCAAAAGAGGGCATTTCTGAAAACATCACGCCCTTGAGATCCTTTGTTTTGGAGGCACTTAGAGTTTAATATGGTATCTTTTTTTTTCTTACCGGACGTGTTTTGTTTTTTCAGAAGAAAGTACAAATTTTATGTAAAGTTATTTGGTATTTGTCTAGTTATTTCTTTAATTAATGAATATGGCTATTGATGATGTGAAAGAAAAATGGGAGTCCGAATATATTAACCTATAAATTAATGGATCTGATTTGGATTTGGTTAAACAAAAAGCTACACAATGGGCTATCTGTACTCTGTCTACCGTGTGTATCGAAACCCAAATGTTTGCGTTGTAAACCTGCATACTTACCGATGAGCTACTGAAGGGCAAAATTAGTAGAAATGACCACATCAACCTTATACACTCGTATGATTTGTTTTAATAAATTTAAATAACGACAACTTCTCATTCTATACCTTTAAATTATATGAATATATCGATAGCGTGATATAAATAATTGTCCCTTTGTGGATAAGCAGTAAGTTTACGGACTTCCACCGCTAAAATCCAGGGTTTGATTCTCCGCGGCGTATAGATAGCAGATAGCCCATTTTGTGTGTGTGTGTGTGTGTTTTATAGCAAAGCTACATCGGGCTATCTATTGTGTCAATCAACGGGAATCGAATCCTGATTTTAGCATTGAAAATCCGTAGAATTCTCGCTGTCCCACTAGGGGACACCCAATTTGTAGCTTTGAGCAAAAACAATAGCAAAGACAATGCAAATAATTAATTTACTAGTAGCTTTACATCCAGTTGTTTCCTTCAGTCATTGTTTAGTCAAGTGATCTGGGAGGATCGGGTCACTTGGACATCTACCCCCTCTACTTGACTATTGACATGGTTCTATGTTCGTCCAGGTAATATAAATATATATTTTCAAAAGCTCTCTGCATGCTTTTAATACTTCAGTCGCTCTACCTATCAATAATAAGTAAGTGAATAAACTCGTTCTTTATTATATTCTAGCAAATTATTGGGCATAGTGGTCTAAACTAAACGAACGACTTCAAATGCCTCCATCGGCTCATATCTTGTACAAAATCCAATGACAGCGCAAATAATAAATTTCACGTGTAACATATATTTCATACATGGCGAAAGTAGTGTAAATATTGGCTTAATATTAGGAACTCCGTCTAATATTGGGTTGGACAGTCTTTAGCCACGATAACGGACTGGTGTATATTTCATATGTAGTCCATTAACCGAGAAATACGATCCATAACTGGATCACTGATGTAGACAGAGAAACGTTCAAGACCATCATCCTAAAAGTAATAAATCGGTTCGAGAGCCAGTCATTGTACTGGCTAAAGAAGATGATTGAAGTCCCTTTTATGCCTTTTGAACCAATTTTGGACAATACAAGCGCACTGGATTGTCGTATTATCCTCTCAGAAGAACCTTTATACACCAGGCTGAAAAAGCAGCATTGTCGAACAGACACGAATGACCATAACTTCTTGAGCATTCTGGATGTTCTTTGCACTTCCAAAATAATTAGACGTGGCGTGGCCAGCTGGTTACGGCGCTCGACTCGCAATCTGAGGGTCGCAGGTTCGAACCCTCATCCCACCAAACATTCTCGCCCTTTCAGCCGTGGCGGCGCCATAATGTGACGGTCAATCCCACTATTCGTTGGTAAAAGAGTAGAGCCAGAGTTGGCGGTGGGTGGTCATGACTAGCTGCATTCCCTCTGGTCTTTCACTATTAAATTAGGGACGGCTAGCGAAGATAGCCCTTGTGTAGCTTTGGGCGAAATTCAAACAAACCAAACTTTTTAGTCAGTCAGTTAGCAGTACTTTGAAGCAACAATGTTTCCTAGTGACATATACATTTATTTTAACTACCATTGTTTATAACTCTGATAACAGGTAGAGGGAATTTAATAACAGCTTCCTTACCAGCATCCACTACCATGCCCCTTTGAAAGGCTTGGAGATACTTTCTCTAATTCGATTTTCTGCAAATTAATCTCTGTATGACTATTTTTTTTTTTTGCATTTATTGGGATCCAATAATCACGTGACTCCTCACATTATAAATGTATTTTGTATATGTAAATAGCTTTAGTGCGTGTGTATAAGTGGCCAGTCAAAATAGACGATAATGAAAGTTACACACAACCAAAGAATTATTTTCCCTTAACTTATTACACTAGTTGTTTTATAGTAATCACATGAACAAATCACTGAATTCTAAACAACTTGGAGGCAGCTATTAAGTAATCTTGCTTGGTGATTTCTGTTTGTGGACAAAGTTTACGATTGTAAAATATCAGCTGGTAATTTGAAGTTTAAAATATGCAATTAATTCGCACTTTACGTGACAGAATTCTGATACGAAACTTCGACAGATATAGTCAAAACATTCTGATCAGACTGCTATAAAGTTACTTTGGAAAGTAGTTTCCTCTGGCTGTAACAAGTATGATGAACTTCGAGACGCCGTGAAACAGACAAGACTGGTGAAATCGATCCTTTTTTAGCACCTAAAATGTAAACAAAAATAAAGGAAGAAGAAAAAAAAATTATGTTATTCCTGGAACGCAGGAACTTCTTTGTTGTCCACAAGAGCTCATTGACCAGCTGGGAGATAAATGAATACTCGCTAGTCGTTTGTGTTCACCAGTGGAAATGGATGGTTATGGCTTAACGGATCGTAGGAACCGCTACCAAGGAGTAACTAAGAGTGGTCAAACTGGTTTCAGACTGACCATAATGGCCATATTGTTTACAATTAGGAGCAGGTGTACTTTGTTTTAGACC